GATACCCTCACGCATTAGATGGACAGACAGAGCGGGCAGTTATGGAGTTGGTTTGAAAAACAGTTATGTTTATACTTTGCTTTCTTGGTTTTGTTCTGTTCTCTTTTTTCCAAGCATATTTTGCAAGCGAGTGATGTTTATGAGTCTATGGAGGCGAGGCGTTGGGATGATCTGGTTGTTTTTTCTGCTTTGTTTTTACCTGTCTGTTTTGGTTTGTCTTTGTCTTTGTCTTATCCTATCCTAATTGCTCCTGTTGTCTAGACGGCTTCCGAGCAGTTGAATATACCCTATCGAAACCGAACTCTTGGTCTTCTCGTACTTGTAGACTTTCGTAACGAGCAGCTATGGCTCAAAACCGATTCAATGTAGTTTTTCGTATTCGAATCATTCTATATTCTCTTCTCTTTTTTTCTTCGTCTTGTTTTACTTATTGTTCTTTTCTTTTTCTTTTTCTTTTTCTTTTTCTTTCCCATTGCCTTTTGGTGTCTGAGTAGGCATATATCCGTTTGTATACAGAGTGCCCGCTCTTCTTTATGCGATAATCTATAAATACGGCCATGTCGCCCACCTGTATTCTAGTTCTACATCGATTTATTATCTTTCCATCGTACACCTATCGTTTCGATTCTGGAATCGTACGTTCGTACACCCCATCTTCTCTTTTATACAAGTCAGGTACATTAGCGTGCTCCGTCCTTCTGAATAGGGTCCAACATATCTACACATTCCGTGCAATGTGCATTATATACATTGTAACAGATTGTACAGCATGCGTAATGAGTATCAAAATTCCAAAACCACCTTCCCCTTCGCCTTTCCTGACTGAATGATGTTATGCGCCTCTTTCAAGCCATCCAACGTCAACTCCAACCTCGTCCCAAGATGACATTTGATTTGCCCCGCATCAATCAGCCGTGTGAGCTCCTCCAGTATGTGATGATGCGATTCGATATCAGCATGGTGGTACGGTTTAGTCCCGATAAGACACCAGATAAAAGACATCGACTTGGACATGAAGTCGGTGCCGTGCATGTTGGCCTGGCCCTGGACGATAGAGCAGACTTTACCGAAGGGAGCACACAGCTTGCCGCAGGTCGACATGTATTGGTCTGTCGAGGACGTAATGAATATGTACCTGTTTGTCTGTGCAAGCACGGGGTACATTGGTTTATCTTTGCACAGCGACTTACTTGAGTGGTACGTCGAGGTCGAGTTTTGCAATCTGCGCCGGGATATCCTCTCGATGGTTAACGACGTGAGTTGCTCCCATTTGTTTGGTAAATTCAATCGTCTCCGGTCGCGAGGCAGTCGTTATAACATAAGGTAAGTCAAGGACAGTGCGTGCAATCTGGCTGGCAACAGCACCCACGCCGCCAGCGCCGTTGATAATCAGTAGCGCGGCTTTCTCACCCTTTTTAATCTCCAGTTGTTCGACTAACGCTTCGTACGCTGTAACATACGTCAGAGGCATTGCCGCGGATTCCGCAAAGTCAAGCGTGTTTGGTTTATGTCCGACGCTTCGTTCGTCCACGAGCTGATATTCCGCATTCGAGCCCTGTCGAATCGGGCTTCCAGAGTAGAAGACCTTGTCTCCTGCTTTGCATAAGAAGCATTCGGGTCCAGTCTGCTCCACTACTCCAGCCGCATCGTAACCGCAAATCTGGAATGGTCGAGGGACGTGGTCGTAGTAGTCTGCGGCTGCTGGTTAGCGGCATGTTGGACATCTGTCTGAGTGTGCAAGACGAACCGGGATAGTCATCATAAGTTCCATTTCGAACCTTTGTGTCCACTGGATTGACAGAGACAGCCTTGATACTGTGCTCATGTTAAGTGGAAGTCCGGGAGAGCAAGTATACGCAAACGTACCGGACCAACAAGTCTCGAGGAGACAGGTCGGAGGGCTGTGGTAGCTCCTTTTCGCAGAAATTCTCAATTGGACCGTAGTTTTCGATGCCGAATGTCTGAATCCGACGCCAAGCTATATACCTCAGCACGGAACGGGTAATGACCGAGTGGCTGCAAACATTGACGCGAATCTGGGAATTAGGAGCATTCTGTGCTTTTACCCATTACGTCCAAAGAGCAATGGAGCCAGTACGTAGTAAGGATTGCCGCCAGGAAAGTGAGTCGCGGTGTTCCTTCGGATAGCCTAAAGGTTTCCTATTCGGGCAATGGTGGCAATTGACGACGCCACACTCTCAAGACATTGTACGGAGTAACTACTCCGCATGCTGGACTACTGCTACAATCAATTGGCGACGGGATGATTCGTCGTCGAAGCGATGCTATCGTACTCGATTGCCCCGAGCCTGGAAGAGCTGCATGGAACCTCCGCTGGCCCAGAATGCCAATCATATGCGTCTGGTTATAGTCTATGGAGCAAGCAGCGCGGGCTCCACGAAAATCATCGAGTCGATCCAGCAGAACCAGCGAAAGATCCTGAAAACTTTTCCTTTGTTGAATTTTCTCTATTACCGAGATCGACTTGTACAGTAGGTATCTACGTCGAGGGAATTGTTTCGAGCGATCAGGATTCCCCTCCGAACGCGCTCCAACAGAGTTCGAGCACCGACGGACTCACGATCGACGTACAAGTAGTAATTCCAACTCAGGGGGGCGTGACTCGGTTCGTGCTGCAATTTCCTTGTCAGAGGTCCCGGGCCAAAACAGCGCGTAAATGAACAACAGTATTGGGCCTGATAACACCATGGCTAGAGATTCCAAACGGAAACGCCGTGTACAAAGGACCGTAGCGCATTTCCCGTCCCGAATACGGAGACCGCATCTGATAGGCTCTCATAACGATAGCGTCTTGTTCAACCATTGGATTGCGTGAAAATCATGGACGCTAACGAAGCCAAGAGGAATGGCCCGTGATAAGCGCAACTGCACGATGCGATCATGGAGCGTAGATACGAGCGCCGTGCATGGTGCATAATTGCCGTACTCGACGACCAGATCTGTGCTACAGAGTACTCTGTACCTTGGACTCGTATGGACTCGTATGGACTCCGAACGGAGTACTCCGTACAGTACTCCGGAGTGAAAATTTTGATCCGAGATGAGGCCGAGTTCGGGTCGCCGGAATGAACCAGTCTGTTACCGAGCCAATCCGGATTGGGCTAGCGCTGGTTCCGAGAAATTCTGCCGACCGGAACAATTCTTTGTCCGTCGCCGCGGCTGCTCGGCACGTGCGGCAAACTTGAACTTTGCACGTACATACTACGAGCACGGTAATTCGCTATGAAAAGTCGGTCAAAACACGTACGGAATGCTGACTTGGTTTTTGCGCTCCATCCGTGCCATAGCTGCCCATACTGTGCGGAGGTTGCTTATACCTCCGTATATCACTCGTACGGCTAACCGTCGCGGCTCCTGTCGGCGGTCGGCGAGGCTACCTAAATAGGCATAGCGGTATTTACGTGATATCTCGCGCCAATGGAGGGACGCCGAGCGGCAACCAATCAGCATCGGGAAATTAATGGGACGTGCCTGTGGGAGTGTGGGGCATCACCATGTGGGTGCAGTGGGGTGCCCGGTGCCCTAAGTACCAGCCCTAACGCTAGTCTGGAAGTGGCAACGGTCAGGTGCGTGGTGCTGCCTGCGCCGTATGTATACTCCCAAGTCGGCCGCTTCTTTCTTTTTCGCCCGTTGATTTTCCTTCTCCTTTTCTGTTACCACACCTCTTTCTCTTCTCTTTATCTGCGTGCTGGTCTTGTTCTCTGTTATTGTTATCAGTATCCGTCTCGATTTGCGCGCTTTCTTCTCTCTCTCTCTCTCTCCCCCCCGAATCCCCATCACACGGCAACTGTAGCCAGGTTTGCCTCCAGGATATCTAATCATGGCCGACGCTGTGATGGCTGAAGCGCAGGGACCTGGCGGCCAGCCGTCCGCTGATTCTAACCTCGAGAACTTAGGATACGTCCCTGAGCTGTCGCGCAATCGTTCAACATGGCAGGTGATGTTTATGAGCTTCATCATGGCCTCTGTGCCCTACACCATCTCGACCACCATGACCTACACCATGACCGGAGGCGGTCCGTCAAACATGATCTGGGGATGGGTGACAATCTGTTTGTTCATGCTGTGTCTCGGTGCTTCGCTCGCTGAAATCACCTCCGTCTTTCCCACCGCCGGTGGTGTTTACTACCAGACCTTCGCCCTCTCGCCCCCCTGGTGCCGTCGCGTAATGGCTTGGGTTTGTGGCTGGTGCTATTTCGCCGGTCAGGTCACCATCACGCTCTCTGTCAACTTCGGAACGACCCTCTTCTTTATCGAGGCGCTGAACCTTTTCAAGTACGCCGATGGCACGGGATTCACCGAAAACTTCGAGGCCTGGCAGACCTACCTGATCTTCCTCGGTATCACGCTGTTCACGCACATTCTTCCCTCCATTGGAAACAAGTGGTTGACCTACGTTGAGGTACGTTTTCTTTTGCGTCGCCGCCTTCTCGAGGTCGTGGCTAACCTATATACAGTTGTTCGCCGTCTTCTGGGTTATCGGAGGCATTATCGCTACCATCGTTACCATCCTTGTTGTCGCCGATCACGGAAGACGCCCTGGTCGTTGGGTTTTCGGTGGCTTCGAACCGCACTCTGGTTGGCCCGATGGTTGGTCTTTCTGTATCGGTTTGCTTCAATGCGCTTACAGTTTGTCGGCTACGGGAATGGTCACATCGTGAGTTTTGTCTCTTGCTCTTTTTATTTTTGTTTTGGTGTAGGGCAATGCTAATTCGTGCAGTATGTGTGAAGAGGTTCGTCGTCCCGCCGTCCAAGTCCCGAATGCCATCGTTGGCGCCGTCGTCATGAACATGGTCGCCGGTCTTACCTTCATGATCCCCATCGCGTTCGTTCTCCCGGATACTAGCATGTTGTCGGAATTGAGCAACCCCATACCCACCATCTTCCTCTACGCGACTGGAAACCAGGTCGGTGCGTTCTGTCTGTGCATACCCATTATTATCCTGGGTATCTGCAGTGGCATCACCTGTGTGACCTCCACCTCTCGATGCACTTGGGCTTTTGCTCGTGACCGTGCCGTTCCGGGTTCGAGATGGCTCAAGATCGTGAACAGGCGGCTAGAAATCCCCTTCAACGCCTTGCTTCTGGGAATGGTTATCGAGTTGCTTCTTGGATTGATCTACTTCGGTTCGTCCGCAGCCTTCAGTGCGTTCTCGGGTGTGGGTGTCATCTTTTTGACCCTCAGTTACACACTTCCCGTGGCTTGCTCCTTCTTCCTCCGCGGTCGCAAGGACCTCAAGTACGCCAGCTACCACCTTGGAAGGCTCGGTGTGCTTTGCAACGTGGTCTCCATCTGTAAGTACTCCTGGTCCCCTCCGCGGGCTCGTCTATCTCAAGGCGACATGTCTAATACGGCTGACCCTTTACAGCGTGGTGTCTTCTCGCCATCCCACTGTTCTGCATGCCCACTGCGATCCCCGTCTCCCGTGATAGCATGAACTATGCCGTAGTTGTCTTCGTGGGTATCATCATCATCTCCGCCGCCTGGTACATCATCTCGGGACACAAGAACTACCATGGCCCGCCCTCCGAAGGACTCCACATCAACTCCGGAGAGTCCCAAGAGAAGTTCGAGCCCAACAAGATCCCCCCGCCGCAGTAAGCCCACAACACCTTCTCTCTCGGCTCTCCTGCCCTTTCTCTCCCTTCCATTCGCTCGCTTCCCACGCCTTTCTCCGCCCGATCGAGTTGCCCTTCGCTCTCCTTGACATACTACCGGACGATCCCTCGACCTCCATACTATTCTTTCCTCCCCCTCCCCAAAATCATCGACAATTCCACCAACCTCCGACCTCCAGTGACGACGGATCAACCATCCGGGTACAACACTTACGAACCAAGTCCATAGCGGCGGCCCGCGTAAGGACACATTGCCCCAATGCAACCTAGTAACCCCCATTGGCGCGTAAGAACCAAGAGCCCCAACAACTCTTGATAATCCGCCATGCGGGAATGCAAAAAAACCTCGCTTGTATATAGCTGCTGTTTTGCTATGTGGCGTTTTCGTGGCTATTGTCGGGTTATCTTGTTCATGTACATAATCATCTGAGCGCATTGCTTATTGGACAATTCAGATCTCGAAATCTTGATCAAGGATTGTGTCGTAGGTCGTATGCTGAGTAGCATCTTCGTCCTCCCGTCTCTCTTCCTCTACACTTTATTAACTATGAGACATGCTTACGAAAACCGCGCAGACGCCGGCGTCAGCAAGATCTACCAGGTCGACGAAGACGCGAACACCCTTCTGGCTTATTCCGATCCTGTTTACAGAGTATGGTGTGTAAGATACAAAGTGCCGTACGGTCGTTCCAGGTTGCCGTTTCTGGTACTCCGATATAAACTCGTGCTCTGCACGATTTGCATGATCGTCTCGCTTGAGCCATACTTTCCATACTGTTGGTGAATTAGGGCCGTTCTTGTTATACTGCATCTCGGGGCAAAGGGACGGTTTGTCTTACGCTGTTTGGTGGCTTGCATGTGCGATGTGACGGGATGCATGCCTGGACATGCAGGTGCATGGAATCGGCCAGTCACACGGAGGTCTCGAACAGGGATCAGACAAGACTTCGATCTCATGATGGCCATCACATTCGCGACATGGTTATTAACGCAGTTAGCGCGCTATTGGCACGCTGATCGACGGTCTTTTCCACGGGCGAATGGACGGAAACGACGACAATGTTCGGACTCGGTGACTCGAAGGAAGAAGTACTCATATGCATGGTAGTTAATGGAGCTAGGAGCTGTTTTTATTTCGGATCGGAGAACCGATCCCGGAGGAGATCTAGGTCACCAGACAGCCCCGACAGAGAATTGAACTCATACTGGCGCTCACTCCGGTCAAAGTATTATCGGTCTGCAGTGGCTTTCGAAGAAAAGCAACCACGAACCATACCACTGATGTCCCTCGGTTCCGCAGTGGCATAGTCCACCTCTTAAGCTAACCGACATGCGCGTCCGTCCTCTCGAGCCAAGGAAGGGTCTTTTCAGGCCTGTTTCATCCTTCTATGACCCTACCTCGCTACGGCCCATCGGTGAACCAGGCTGGCAAGACCCGTTACCTGCTCCGTCTCCAGAGTGTGTCAGGCCGACCATGTCTTGCTGCTAACCGGTGGTCTTGGCTCTGTTCTAGCACGCCGGCCTAGAAAAGCACACCAATCAACAACTAACCCAACTGGCTTACCAGATGGCCTTTTGCTCACACGACTACCAGGCGGTGCGCTGTGGATGACCCTTAACAACTTCCATTACCTAGTAGAAACAAGCTTCGCAGTCAACCACCCATTTATGGCATAGCATGGGCGGTACACTGTGATAATCCAGGGGTGCCAGAGTGCGCAGTGTTCCATGGACCCAGTCTTAATGAATCTTACAGCACGCATCCCTAAACCCTTAACAATTTCCATTACCACAGTTAACTAACTACCGGCGGCCACTTAGGTAAGTGCTTCCAGCCGGGGGGGAGGGGGTGTCCTGTCCTTCCACAAGAACTGCTTCAGGTCGGATGGTTTTCAGGCGGGTTCCCCCAAACGATGTAAAGGGCTACTAATCTCGGGCACCACGTAAAGGTCAGTCATCATCGCCCCGCCATGTTTCCATGACGCTCAGTGCAAGCTCACTGGGGAGGAATGTATGTAGAATGGTAGTGTACGGAGTAAGAGTACGGAGTACGGAGTAGCATAAACAACCAAGTACATAACTAGTACTTCCGTGTTTTGCCAAGAGTCACATAACCGCACATATCACCCCGCCAAAACTTCTTTCATGACCTTTCGACAGACGAAAAGATCATGGCCCGCCCGTCCGGGGGAAGAACGCATTCCAACATCAAAGGAGCCCCTGATTATGACGATGCGACCTACTGGGACACCAAGTTTGCGACCGGCCAGGATGTTGGCGAGTGGTTGAACTCGGGCGGCGTCGTGCTCGAGGCGGTTCTGGCGGTTCTGGCGGACTTGAAAGACCGGCACGGTGGCTCAGGGATGGAAATCGCTCCTCGAGCATTGCATTTGGGCCCTGGCATTTCGAAACTCGGGACGAAATTGCAGGAGGCATTTAGCAATCGCGGATGGTTGAGCAATGGCATTGTCGTGAGCGCCCCTTCGACCTTCGACAAGGATCTACGGATGTGATGGTGCGAAAGGATATCAGAATGGATGGTTCTGCTGATCGTCCGTTACATGTCCTTTTGCTCTGCTTAGAACGTGGATTTTTCCGCAGAAGCCGTTCGTTTGGGCCAGGAGGCCGAGAAGGAACAGCACCCCTCGCGCGCGATGCAATGGATTCAAACCGATCTCCGTTCCTGGGCCGACGTCGCCAGTCTTACCCCCTTCGCCCCGTTCGACGTGATCCTCGACAAGAGCACGAGCGACGCCATCGCCACAGCTGAGCCGCAAGTTTTCCCCCCATCCCCGGACCCCGTTATCTGCCCTACCGTCCACGAAATCGTCGAGCAAAACGGAGAAACTGAGCTGTCGCCAGTTGAGGGGTTGGCGTTGCACCTTGTGCCTCTGACGCGCGCGGGAGCGACGTGGGCGGTACTTTCGTACTCGATGTCCCGGTTTGATAATCTTCGGTATATTGGGCGGTATTGGGAGGTGGTCTCGCGGACGCCGGTGAAAGCACCGACCGGGAGCGTTTCGTCTAGTGTGCATGCGCCTGAGATTTTTCATTGGCTTTATATTTTGCGCCGGATTTAGTGTTCGTGAGATGGCGTAGAAACCCGCGGTCGGGTCGACCAGCTCGATTACAAACGATGTACAGGTCCAACTACAACCGGGATTAGGATATAACAAGAAAAGGATAGATTCATAGCTATGCGATAAGACTTCAAATTTCATGCTCGCTTTCGTTGCGACAACAACCAAACCAAACGCCATGCCCATGCAATCGTCACTTCGTTAATCGTGCAACCATCGACACCTAAATCCGATTGTCCTCACTGATTTTATAGTTCAGCTTCTTCCCCTCCCGACGCCTCTGATGCATATGGATACACGCCCGGACAAACAGCACCAAATGGAAAACCCTGTGATCGTCAGTATCACCGAAATACACAAGCACCGTTGAACGGGGAAAAACGCACGCTGCGATCGGAGCCAAGATAGCGCCCACCCGCAAAACAATGAGAAGATAATCCGGCAGATCGAACCCGGCTGTGCCGGTGGTGTTGAAGTAGAACCCGATTGCAATGAGACCCATAATACCGAGAATCAGCCAGGACAGCAGGTCCAAGCCGAGATCGATGCCGGGGTGGAGGTCGCGGTAGTCGAAGAGGAGGATTAGGTCGATGAGGGACCAGAGCGCTACAATGGAGAACTAATGCATGGGTTAGCTCGGTGAGTCTCGAAAAGAGAGAAGAAGGAAATGCGTACCAAGATAATCCAGATCAACATGCCATCCGGGAAAGCGTAGGAGAAGCAGACGATGCTGAAGATATTGAAGAAGAGCGCCGGGATCCGGAGACCAAGGGAAACGCCCCAAGAACGAGAATCGGAGAATGCCATGATGATGCGATGTTCTGGAAATGAATAGAGACTTTGATTTTGCTTTTGATTTCAGAGGAATTGAGGATTCGCAGCTCTGCTTGAGACACCTTTTGACCTGGTGGCATCGTCCATGCTATTATAACCATTGTCTAATCAGCCCGATCAGCCAAATCAGCCCAATCCAGGCGATACATCTGCCTGCCAAGGCCAATGCCTCGGAATGAAATCCATCTAGTTCGCCTTGTACGAATAAAAACATTTCCTGGGGTTTTACCGCACAATTGGCCCCCGAATCCTTTTGGCGATCGGGGATGAGGCTGTGCGGACAAGGTTGACATCCTGTCAGCCTCCGCGAGGTGACGGATAGGGCTGCATGACATCAAGGTATGGCAGCAAGGCAACAGGAAGTCAATAGATTATTGATCCTGGACATACGCATCGAAATTCATCGGCGCATGGGTATTGCACACTTACCGTGCCCTTAGGGTAAGTGCTCCCCGGTACACTGGACTAGTCAGAATACCCACTGCACTAACAGCCACCATGAAAATCCCATTGCTACTGCTCCGTAGCTATCGTTTCTATTCCAATTCAATGTGCTATTCCGTATCAAACAATTCTTGCCCCCGGTCCGGACTCATGCTAAACCATGGCAAAGCGAAAGGCTGATTCCGATTCTACTTCTACCCCAAGAGCACCAAAGGTGAGTACGGATAACAGGGCCATGGAACTAGAAGTGCTCAGCTGGTTCTGACCACACGTTTTCTCGCTTAGGCTTGCCTTTCTTGCCGGACGAAAAAAAGAAAATGTCATAAGTCAGACGGGTCTGCTGCCTGTACTCCCTGTCTCAATGCAAGCACGGAATGTACATATGACGGCGATTCCGGACAGCCCAACAACCGGGAGTATGCCCTTATGCTATTCGCAAAATGGGTAGCCCTGGTCATGTTGCTAACCGTATATAGTCGCCGCCCGGAGTCAACGATTCGCCCGGGGCGTCATTCAAACAGCCCGGCTCGGCCGCCGAAACGCCCTCGAGGTACCAGAACCGGTACGGAGGGATCGAGGACCGGTCCTCCCCAATCAAAAAATCGCCCAGTTCGACCGTCCCGACATACCAGCACCAGTGCAGACGAATCAACCGGGCAGGCTTCCGCCTCGGACGGCCAATTGCAATCTGCGAGTTCACGCCCGACCACCGTCGATCCCTTCGAGACCAACGATGGCTATGAACGCCGAGTTGAAACCAACACTTTTGAGCCGGCCGGTCATGCGCCGTCACTGGGAAATGGTCCGGTTGGAACTGGAAGATTAGGTCTGTCAACTCTTCATATGCGCAGAGATGGCATAATTGAATTTCAAGGTGAGCATACACCTTAGCTAGCTGTATTGAAGAATGCTAGCATAATACTGATACCGAAATTCCAGGAGGCTCATCCGTTTTCTCCTTCGCCCGTGCGGAGAGGTCAAGCTCAGGACAGGAAGACGAAATCGCCTTGGATGAAGGACGGCCACCGACTGCTGATCATATTCCTCGACTATTCAGTCACCTGCCGAGGAGGTGGAGCCACGAGGTCAGGAGCTTGTACTTGGAGTACGGGGAGTCCTTCAACAGGGTCTTTCCACTGTTTGGTGCGCGCTTTAGATCTGAACGAAAGAAGTTCGTTTTTTCTCAGGTCCCAGAAGGCAGTCCTCTGCAGTTATGCTTGGATGTTATGCTGGGATTCATGTATAGGGAAAAAGGATACACCGTTTGGGGGAATGACCGTGATAGATATTGGCTGAGGGCCACGGCATTAATCACGAGGGCTGAGAATACTGCTCAACGGCTCTACGCTCGAGTGGATCCGCTAGCGACCCAAGGAGTACTAGCATTGGCATTTCTCTTCCGCAGCTCGGGGGCATCATCAGGCCTTTGTCAAATATGCACGAGAAGGGATGCTGATGGCGCGAACTGCAGGGCTACACCGACATGGCACTGTTCTGTCGGATGGTAGCACCCTGTCGGATCAGGTCATCCTTGAAAGAATGAAACTCTTCTGGCACGCATTCGCGCTGAATCAGGATGCGTCTTTCTTTTTCCAGGGCTGCTTGCCAATATAGCTCATGGCGGACTGTAACACACCAACGGATTTCCCGTCTAACCAGATCTCCCTCCCTTCCCTGGGTGCCATTCGCTTCGGTAAATTGTTCGCCGATTTTGCGCGTGTAAAGTTTGAAGTATACAATTTGCTTTACACTGTGGAGGCCGAGCAAGAAGACCGAGACAGCCGTATTGAGAGCGTTTTGCATTGTGAGCGGAAGTTTCACAAGTGGGCAAAAAGCATGCCCCAGTCAGCTCAACCAGGGCACGCGTCATTCCCTGCCGCTCATACCATCCGTACCCAGGATCGAGTGCCTCTTCGGGAACTGTTCAGGCTGCACATTGAATACCACAGCTGTCATGTTGGACTATTTCGCGTCTACCAAGACATCCGAGAATCGTCTCCAACCTCTGTCGATGGCCTTGACGATTTTAGATCTCGTGCCGTCGAGTCCATTCGATACGTACTACAGCTGGTCGATGCAGTCCCATTGAGCAGCTCACCTTTTGTGTGGTAAGTACAACACCGGCCATCGAGCCAAACTGGTCCGGACTGACCCCCCAAACCAAAAAGGAGTGTCGTATTCTTCCTCCCTAACGCAGCGTTCCATATGTGCCGGCACATAACCGACGCCCGCGATGAGGAAGCGAGATCCGATTTCGACTTGATAGGGCGCACTATTCAGTTCATGCGCAACGTTATCAATTCTGGAGCGGAACGCACCGATCTTAATATTTATTACAATCATCTGGTGAGATCAAAGCCATACAATGCGGTGAAAAAGACTTTCCAACAACCCATACCACCACGTCCATTACCTCGCATCAGAGTTGTGCCGCCACATCTTAATAGAGACTCGGAAGCGAGCGAGTCGGATTCGGAAGCCGATTGAGGGGATAGTTGTACGCGTCGAAATAGTAAACACTCGGCGGTATCCGTATCAAAGGGGGAGGCGAAACGAAAAGGCGATCATCTTCCTTTGATAGACTGACAACTAGAAAATACTCTCCTCTGTATTATAATTTTCCTTTTAACTTTTGTTGTCGTTGGTCCTTAGGGCCCTTCCATCACACACGTACTCCGTTTACGTTGTAGTCCGTCGCAAAGACACACCAGCTAGGCCAGGGCTTCAGAGATCTGCCGTTTTATATTGTCTTGGACAATCAGGGAGACGCATCTTGTAACCAATTCCGTTGTTTTCAGGTACCAAGTCGGAATCTTGGTTGCTCGTCCACGCGACCGGAGGCACTGGCACAATCACTGGGAGACCCAGTTTCCATCCACCACGGACGGACCCTGGAACCTTCAACCGGATGCCTGAGCGCTTGGCAGCGATGACTGGCTCTGGAACTGCGGTTCATGGCCGTCGAATCAAGTATGGATGATTTTAGGTACCTCTCAAGTGAACTATGCGCCGCTGTTGATTGTCTTTATGCTGTGATCTTATTATCGCCAAAGCGAGCTTACCAACTTGGATGGCTGCTAGCTCGAGGGCTCGGCTTTCATGTCCTTTCTGTGGTGTTGTGACTTTGCTTGGGGTAGTGGCAATATTCTCTCCAGAACCTTCGTAGCTCTTCTGGAGGCCTATGACCTCAGAATTTCTTTTGTTGTTATTGCTTCTTATCACTCTTGCACTCTTTTTCAGAGTGACGGACAAGCTCTGAGTGGTGACAAAGCGAGAATTCTTTCAAAAAGATCTTTTGGCTTCTGGGAAGGCTGTTGAGCTGATAATCTCCCCTCACAACGTGCTACCTCATGATTCTAATTGTCCCCATTTCTATATATAAATTTCCCGAATGATAGCTGATATCAAAGGTATTGTGGTCTCCTAAAGGAGGACTGTCGTCAAAGGTGCTGCAGTCTCCCGAAGAAAGACTGTTGTCGAAACTGTCGCGCTCGTCCGAATTATTGCGTGAGGAATACCGGCATTGTCTCCATTAGCAATCGTCCCGGTCTGATTCTGTGCAGACAGTGCCAGTCTTCGATATATGGCTTGCTTCCCGGACGCTGGATACGCTCGACGTAGCCAGATGCGGTCTTGAGCAGAATGAGATCATTTGCTTCCTGGCGGGCAGCATTGGAGACAATCGCCAAATCTGACGATGCCGTACAGATCACGCAGAGAATCTCCTTGATTTATGTTAGCCGGGAATAGATTCCATTGGTCGTGGAGATTGTACTTACCATGCGAAGTCTAATCCCACTGCATGGATAGCATCAATCGATCTCAGCACATATCGTGCTGACTCATTAGCTTTCAATTCGAGTCTGTAAGCTCTGGAGACCAAGTCAGTATCGCTGTGTGTTGACTCTGCTCTGACCTTCTTTCAAACACGGAGAAGCCGTGCGTAACAACTGTGGAACAGAATATAAAGCTGCAGCACCAGATTCACCTCACGCTCCCTACAATTGTCGTGGATTTGCTCCAAGTCGAAGGTATGGCTGGGCTCTTGCGCACAATCCACGAGCTTCCGCTGACAAGTCTCCGCGCGGTTGATGAGATGGCTATGACTCCCTATAGCGCTAAGCGAATCATACATCGAGTTTCGCACCAATCTTGCAAAGTGAAAACTAAATTCCCCCTCCGCGATGTAATATGAATCACTATCCAGTCTGGTTGTGTTATTGTCCTGCAAAAGAACTGCCAGTTAAGATCCTGAGTACTTCTCAGGTGCTTCCAAGCTGACTTAAGGTCTGCGTTGCTATAGACTGGGCACTTCTTTGTTTTTTGCCAGTTCACATATGCAAGCATAAAATGAATTGATAGCAGGAGAGACGGACTTGTCCAGGCACCAGTCCTGGATTCCCGTAAGTGAATAAAAGTATGCTTGTCGAAACACCGTAACTCCTTGTTGACGGTACCAAAAAGTCCATGACTGGAATGCGAGCGCCTTAGTACACGACTTCAAGAAGGATGGGAGGTGCTTCAGTTTACAATCATTGAGGTCTGCGTCTCTGGGTGCCTCGGTCGTCCATGGAGCCCTCCGTCCATCGGTGTAGGGTATTGCATTGATCGCAAACCCGAGGACAATAAGTAACTAAATATAGGATAGAGCTCACCACAACTTACTGGGTCAAATAGAAGTATTATTGCGTGCAAGGATAGATGTAGTCTTCACTGGTTGGTTGGTGGTCGTTGCTCAGACAGGTGAGGGTTGACATTCGAGTAAGGAAGGACAACAGAGTAACGACTCGACACGGAGCTCGAGTATCATTCATTTACTCGCTAAATATAATCGAAAGCAAATTTTGTGAATCTTCGTTGACGTCACAACAGAGTCTAGTGTTGATCATTGGCGTATTCCATACGAAGGTAGAGACAGAGTTGCTCTAGACACTGACCAGGAGATACATCGTACTCTGGACAATGCTAAGAAATCTACTGTTAGAAGTACAATAATCCGTGCAAAGAAGTGAAATGTAGTTAACCCTACTGGGAGGAGGGATGTGAAAAGGCGAGCAATGGTGAATTGATAATTGAAGGCTGCAAGGAACTACGTCCCTACAACAATCTACGGCTGTCTTCCAAAGCTACTGACGGTGTACGGAGTATTGGAGTGCAGGTGGTACGGGTGTCGAGTGCTTCCAAATCGTCGCCAGCTGCACCCTCAATCGTCACCACCTTGGCAGACATGGAGTTATCCGCACAAAAGCCCGCAGATCTGTCCAGCGGCTTACCAATTGAGGTCTAGTCTAGAGTCCCTGGCAAACGAGGAGCTTGGTTGTAATGCTCCTCGCAGCACACCTTGATACGTGCCTTGTATGTCAGCGGGTGTGTCGCTGCGAATGTAGCTAGCGTGGTCCATGAACCATGTACGTAGGCGTAACATACGATAGGCGTTTTGGAATCATAAGCGATGACAGAGAAATGCATCCCCTGACAGGGCTTAAGTTGCAAACCAATCATTTCTTCCGTTCCCCAACGCCATCACTCAAGTGCCACGGGCTATCAAAGTTTCAACGAGACAGAATACGAAGGACGAGGAATCAATCGATCGACTGCAACGCGATATCGGTAGAAAAAGCCGTCACGTGTGCCAGGCAAGGAATCCGAACTGTCAAACAAGCAACTTAAATGGATGTATTCCCCAAGAAAAATGGCTCGAACGGCGGTCGTCTCACGCTGCGCCACAGCCGTCACAGACCTGGCGCGTGACTCGTTGAACCAGAACTTACCTTTGAAGGAACTGGAGATTGTTTGGGTGACGTTGAGGGCCTAGGCGCATGGTCCCAAGTCTGGGGCGTCGAGGGCCTGAGTACCGTGGTCGTGACTGGGCCCAATCCCGCGGCACTCGTCCACTCGCAAGTCTCGAATGAAGATAGTCAAGAGCCCTTAATTTCCTTGATTGAAGACCTCAGTAACTGACCGTCAGCTCACATTACTGCGCGCCAGGATCAGTTACGACTGTCATAGATTTTACACTACATTACGCGCTATACCGTAGCCGTCCTCGCTTAGCGAGCCCTAGTAGTACGCATTATTATCTTATCGGTAGGTTTATCGTTATGTTTATCTTATGCTGATCTTATTTATATATAATTGCATCAGTGCCGAAACACGCGCAAAGTAAGTTGACTGAAGAGGTATGAGGAGAGAAATGAGTTTGTGGAGCCGGCTGCTGCCAGGTGACTGTTTGCTCGAAACACAAGTATCATCTTGGTCACGAAATACCAAAGCTAACGTGCGTTAGAGAGTGAATATTCAGCCGTCATGGTGTAGAGGCAGTTATTCGATACTCATTCACTGCACAAAGAAGTCTTGTGATATCTGAAGCTGAGATAGGTCGAGCTTGAGGAGTGCCAAACATAGACGTAAGTCGTGATTATGGTCGGGGCAGCACTGGCGACAGACCGGTGATGCGGAAGGCTCTCAGGTATATCGATGTACGCAGGATTGGCATTTTGAATTAAAAAAAAAAAAAAAAAAAAAAAAAAAAAACCAGATAATTGGCAATTGAAGCTATATCTTGAATTCTGAGTCTTGGATCCCGTACGATAAAAAACGAGAAGAATTGGTCACGTACCTGAAGATCGCGACAGGTCAATATATATCTTCGGATGTGCCTACTCATCGACACAAAACGTTATTACCAGAGGCTCAACCCACCGCACCAAGAAAGTAAATTCTATGCTGAAGTTGAACAACGACAATAATACCAAATATAGAATACCCCGCGTACCCCGCGAAAGACCCCTGTACAACTACCACCAACCAATGAAACACAACACCCCGCATTCCATTTCATGCTTTCTTATGCTTATTTTATGCATACTGCATTCGAATTCATTCGAATGGACCCAGAATTTCAGTTTCAGTCTAGCTGGCCCTGACCCCTCCCGTACCAAGTCTCGTATCGAGGTCGTCCTCAGTTCGCAACACACAACACACAATACACAACACACAACACACAACACAACGCACAATTGTCCAATCGGCCGAGAATAGTAATACTGTGTAGCAAGCCCAAGGAATACGACCATGTGCTGCTACCCATACTTGTGTACTTGTGCCAGCGCTCAAGTGCAGACGGACGAAGGGATCCAGTATCATCAGGTGGCTTATGGTACAAATGAAATCCTGCTTGTGTAAACGTGAGGTGTCTTCGGTCGACCCCGCATCGGAGACTGCTCCGTATCGCACTCGTTCCGAGTAGGAGTATATATAGCAGGACTGAGCTGCGTAGACTACGAGCTACAAATACGTCCCAAAGTACCATCCCACTCACTACGCAATGGCGACGATGAAAGCCCTGGTGTATACCGCCCCCAGCACCATCGAGCTGCAAACCCGGCCCAAACCGACAATTCAAGCCCCGACCGATGCCATTATTCGTATCCAACATGCCTCCATCTGCGGCACGGACCTGCATATTCTCAAAGGCGACGTGCCCTCGATCCAGCCCGAGCGGATTCTAGGCCACGAAGGCGTGGGGATCGTGGAGGAGATTGGTGCTTCAGTGAGCAAGTTTGCCGTCGGGGATCGGGTGTTGATTGCCAGTCAGACGTGTTGTGGTGGTTGTCGGTTCTGCCAGAGAGGAATTGTCTCGCACTGCGATGAGGGAGGATGGCGGTTGGGAAATCGGGTGGACGGAACGCAGGCGGAGTATGTACGGATTCCACATGCGAACCTGTCACTGCACAAGATCCCGGACGGCATCCCGGGACGGATTGCGATTATGCTGTCGGATGTGCTCCCGACCGGGATGGAATGCGGGACGTTGAACGGCAACGTGACGCCCGGAGGCAGTGTGGTGATTATTGGCGCGGGACCGATTGGCGTGGGGTGTTTGTTGACGGCGCAGCTGTATTCGCCGGCAACGTTGGTGATGGTGGACGTGGACGAGGCGCGGTTGGAACAGGCACGAGCCATGGGAGCGCAGACGGTCAACACGAGAGCGCCGGATGCCAAGGAAACCTTGGACCGACTGACGGACGGACAAGGGTTCGACTCGGTAATCGAGGCGGTCGGGATCCCGGCGACGTTTGAACAAGCGCAGGAGTTGGTGGCGATAGGAGGGTCAATTGCGAATGTGGGAGTGCATGGCGTCAAGGTGGACTTGCATATCGAGAAGCTGTGGGATCGGAACATCAGTAAGTCCCTTTCCCTTTTGACAAGATACGTATGAGCGATAGTAACTCGGACAGGCATCAATATGGCGCTGGTCAATGCGACATCGATACCGCGGTTGATGCGGTTGGTGCAGAGTGGAATGCTGGACGTGTCGAGTTTGGTCACTCACTGTAAGAACCTGTCCCGTCCACGAAGGAACGACGCGAGTTAACCAAGATAGCGTTCCCCATGGCACAGGCGGACCAAGCGTACAGCACATTTCAGGCAGCGGCTCAACATCGGGCATTGAAGGTGACGATAGACATATAGACATCGAACAGCTTGACAGAACCCCAGTCCATAACGTCAATGAAGGAATTTCTCGCAATCGGTCATGGACCGAGTCGGGGTGAACCGGCACGGAATTGGATGTAATTTGCTGACAGGTGGAGGAGGGGAAATTGGCCAAGACGCTAGTGCCAGAAAGTGTCGCATATTGCTCCGTAGTGAAGCCGAGAGAGGAAGCCATTCAGATGGTCGGTTTGTTCGGTGTGGAGAACATACGTATGGAGGTGTGGGTGAATGCGGAGAGTGTTCAACACAGTAAACAAGGCAAACACTGCAAACCCTCGCTTGAATCGCTTGGATCGCTTAATCCGGTTAGCGTAACCGATTACTTAAGAGTCCGGGGAAGCCGGTGGCCGTGGCCGTGGCCGTGGCTGTGGGTGTGGCCGTGGCCGAGTGGTTCGCCGATATATTCCATGGCAGAGGATTCCATAGACTAGAGTACGTATAGACCATAGAATATTCCAGTAGTGAAACAACACCGTCCTATGATATGGTTATGGCGTCTCGTTTAGCCCTTCCTGTCTGTGACGGTGGCGGCTAAACTCAACCCCGACATTACCCCGGATCCACCGTTCATGGATCTGATTGGCTGACCATATAGGCTGAAAACGTCCAGAATCTGCTTAGTCACACTTGTTGTTACATACGATACAACCATACTGCCATACTGCCAGCCAATACGAAGTACGGCCAAGGGACGCAGCCAAGAGAGAGTACCATCGGCTCGGTCGGGATAATGATAGTAGAAGCAATACCCTGTACAGAAATGCTGTATGCTTGATACCCCGATATCTACTGTACCGTCGTATGTCGCTTCCCCGGATTATTTTCACCGGTGGCTGCATCGGGTATCGCCACTCCCCAGGTCACTAAATCCCCGGTTTCCGCATCGGGCTGTCACTCCGCATGCGACTATCAGGGTCTCCTCCATACTTGACGATGAGGCATTGTACATATTGTACATAGTGAATCTGAATGCATCCAATTCAATACTATTCAAGAATACCATACAATCAATATTGTCATAAAGAACGGAATGCCGAGGAAGGTGACTGCCGGTTCCGCCATGTCCGGCCCGGACATCACCCGATCTGATGCCTGTCTGACGGCGTGACACTCGTGGATTTCGACGCCTTCGGGTTGGCGCCCACTTTGGGTCCGTCTCCGGGTTGGCCACCGGCTTCCCCACGGGCAGAGATTTTTCTGTTCTTAAATATCCCGATCTCCCGTGCTGTTTACGATTTTTCTTTTGTGTTCACTGTCACCTTCCTCTTTCTCTCTTTCTCTCCTTACCGGCTTCATCTCTTTCTTTTCTTCTTTTCTCCTTTTCTCTGTTGTTTACTTGTTTACTTGTCATCATGGGCGTCGAATCCTCCGCCCACCATGGCGAGAACATCTCGCCGGCTCCTCAGCCCGAGTCCCCGGCTCAGAAGCCCATGAATGTCGGCGTTGACACCCCGATTCCACGGCTGACGCTGCGCACCTTTGTCATGGGTGCTTTCGTCTCCATCGGTGGTCTGCTCTTCGGTTATGATACCGGTCAGATCTCCGGTTTCCAGGAGATGAGCAACTATCTCGAGCGCTACGGTGAAATGCAGCCCGATGGCTCGTTTGCCTTTACCAACATCCGCTCCGGTTTGATTGTTAGTCTGCTGTCCATTGGTACCTTGATCGGTGCTCTCTGCGGTGCGCCCCTGGCCGACTGGCTGGGTCGGAAATGGTCCATTACTGTCTGGTGTCTCATCCTCAACGTCGGTCTGGTCGTTCAGATCAGTACCCCTGCTGGCCGTTGGTACCAGATGGTCATTGGTCGATGGGTGACTGGTCTTGGCGTTGGTGGTTGTTCTCTTGTCGTTCCCATGTATCAGGGTAAGCTTCCTTCCTTTCCCCTTCTTTCCCAATTGATTTTTTTTTTTTTTTTTTTTTTTTTTAATTATATATCATACTAATCCCACCAGGTGAATCCGCCCCCCGTCACATCCGTGGTGCCATCATCTGTTGCTACCAGCTTTTCGTCACCCTCGGTATCTTCCTCTCCTACCTCATCAACCTGGGCACCGAGAATATCGAGGGTAGTACCGCCCAATGGCGTATCACTCTGGGTCTGACCTTCCTCTTCGCCATCGCCCTCGGTGGTGGCATGCTCTTCTTCCCCGAGTCGCCTCGTTTCGACTACCGTCACGGCCGTGTCGACAACACCCGCCGCAACCTCGCCAAGTTCTACGGTATCCCCGAGAACCACAACCGCATCATCGAAGAGTTGAACGAGATCCAGGAGCAGCTCGACGCCGAGTCCCAGGAGCAAAAGTGGTACGAGTTCCTCGTTGCTCCTCGCATGTTCTACCGTATCGTCCTGGGCATGGTTCTTCAGTCGTTGCAGCAGCTCACCGGTGCCAACTACTTCTTCTACTACGGTACCACCATCATGCAAGGTGCCGGTATCTCCAACAGCTTCGTCACTCAGGTCATCCTGGGTGCCGTCAACTTCGGAACCACCTTTGGCGGTCTCTACGTCGTTGAGAACTTTGGTCGTCGCAAGTCTCTCATGGTCGGTGCCGTCTTCATGTTCATCTGCTTCATGGCCTTTGCTTCCGTCGGTCACTTTGCTTTCGACCACGTCACCCCCGAGAACACCCCTGGTGCCGGTAAGGGTATGGTCGTCCTCGCCTGTCTGTTCATCACTGGTAAGTTCTACATCCAACCTCTATAAAATCATAAGCCCCCAAGAGACTAACGCAGCAAAAGGTTATGCGATGACATGGGGTCCCATGATCTGGGCTATTTGTGCCGAGCTCTTCCCCTCCAAGTACCGTGCGAAGGGTATGGCCCTGGCCACCGCCTCCAACTGGGCATGGAACTTCCTCATCGGATTCTTCACCCCCTTCATCACCAACGAGATCGACTTTGCCTACGGCTACGTCTTTGCCGGCTGTCTCTTCTTCGGCATCTTCGTCGTCTACTTCTGCGTCATTGAAGGACGCGGCCGCACCCTCGAGGAACTCGACTGGATGTACGTCAACCACGTTGCCCCGTGGAAGAGCGAGTCGTATGAGATTCCTCGCAACGAGATTGCATACGACACCACGCCCCGGAAGGAGCAGGAGGTGTCGCATGATGAGAATGCATAGACGCATTTCATGATTGATGTGTTTTGTTTTGTATATATCGACTGCTCGATTTTGCCTTGTTGCCTTTTTTTGATATCCTCTTGTTGTATATAGACTTAAACGTGGTATGTCATATCTTTTTACCACTCCCTGCATAATCGTGATAGATTACCTAGAATGAATTGAGCTATTTCACGAACATCTTGTTACAAATCGAGTAAGAAGTCCAGTGGCCTTACCTGTGGACATCGGAAACAGAAACTAGCGTAGAACACAACTCGTAAAGGGGTAACACGAACCCGTCATCCCAACAAACTCAACACGGCAAATTAATTTCCAAGAAATGCCGTCCCCATCGAGGCCCGTTCGTATCACCTTTCCTTCGAAATAACCATGTCACACCAAACCCCGTATTACAGAGTAATCCCGATAAACCCCCGTTCCCCGCATCCCATTCACATTCACAAGCAAGACAAAGATAAAAGCGAGACTTTGCATCCGGGCTGAATCCTTCGGATATGCACGCGCGGGTTTCTGGCGGCTTGACCCGAGGAATCGGGTAAATAGAGGATAATTGTCGTAGCGAGTGCGGAGGAGGGAGGATCCACTTTCCTTGATGGGGTATACGTGGTGGTAGTGAGAATAGATTGTTCGGGGGATGATCTATTTGTATGGTGGGCAATAGTGCGTTTTCTATGCGGTGGGTTTTTCTCGGTTCTGTTTTGACTAGTAGTCTCTCGACTCGTACTCTTGACGGGAATGGGCTGTCTCGGTTGCAAATCTTGCGAGGAGCGAGAAAGAAACACTGGTTTTACGTTCGTTATTACGAGTCGATGCTGCAATCTTAAAGCTGTTTCTAATACTTCCCGTACGGAATAACAATCGTCGGTATTTCTCTCGGATCGATGACAGGATACCTTCTGCAATCGCCAAAGATGTCGATGCCACGTAGTCTATTGACATGGACATTTCTCTTCCAGTGTCTTCTCTTCGAACGTCTTAGCTCAATCTCCGCCAGAGAGGTGAGACTGTATGACCTCTTGTAGGGGTTGCTCTGTTATTGTCGACGCACACATAACTGCAAGACAATGACAAGGGCATAGGATTGTTCGTTCCTATGACGAGGGTTCTTTGATTAGGACCAACTGCAACCACTCTTCTATCACACGGTGGATTACGATGAATCCAGACCGCTGGTGTGGCTGCCAGATGACTTTGTGCCTTTTCTTTATTTAGACGGTCATGTATAAAGGACCCCCTCTGCGAGAATCCTTGTTTTGTGCAGACATTTTAAGAGTCTGTATGCCAGTACTCTAGTATGTCAGTTAGCGGAAGAGTGAGTGCTTTCTGAAGTCTCGAAACCTCTTCGATGAAAGTGGGATGTAGTATGCTCCACGAACATGGCCGGGAGTTGGACCATATGATCGGCCTTAAGAAGTGTTTGTTTTAGTTTGCTAAATGCTGGAGAAAGTTCGTCGTAACCATATTGTATGCTTCCCAATGACTATTCCATAGCAATTCCAGTAAACAATGCCTTCGGCAGTTTAGCATTCATGCGCAGTGCGAGCACAATCTATCATCACACTCCAGATTTCTCTGCGGCCCCATTTTGCTGCATTATCTAGGAGGCCTGATACTTTGAGGTACTTTGGAAGATCGCACGAATATCGACACAAGGTTAATACCCAGAACCTACTAACCGGATGTAGATTTCTTCGGTGTTAAAGGTCAGGTGCTAAGCAGTAACCTCAGCGAGGTCCGCCAGCTTGGTCATATCATGCAATCCCATTACCATCTCTCATGGCTTGAAACCATTTCTTGTTATTGGAAGCACCAGTATCGTCTTTTATTGTGATTAGATGTCCCGTCTCTAACATGGCATGGGCGATGTCAATTCCTCGTCCCTCAGCTTTCAAGATAACCAGACGGAGCTGAAGTAGCGTGGCACGAAACCACTGTCGCGCGCCGCCATATTCTTTTGATGATCCGCTTGTTATCGATGATTTTGCTCAAGACGGATCTCACGAAGGATCTTGCCTGCTTACCATACGTCTCTCAGGAGCCTTTATGGCGATATTGTAGGATCACTATAATTCAAAATAGAGCATCATTGATGGCGAGCAGCGCTGGAACCTCCTTGTCTGGTAGGGTGGACTTGGACCGGAGGACAACAGTGTCTAAAATCAAATCATGTGCTCCACAGAAGGGGTTTACTCGGATTGTCAATTGTCGGTGGAAGAGCATTCCATTCAGGGGAATGCTAGTATTCTGCCCACTCTTTCTTTGCTGACATGGTGTGCCATGAATCCCAACATATCACAAGACGTGCGATTGCTTTTGTGGTCGATTGAGCACCAGTATCAATGCTTGGCCAAACTGTCCATCTGTTTGTGCATGATATGCTATGGAAAGTTTCAATTGTACCCCAAGGATTCGACAAAGCTCACCCCAGAATGCTGACACGAACTGGGGTCCACGATCTGATACAATGGTTGTCGGAGGCCCTCTATGGCGGTAGACATGCTCAATGAACTGAATACCCCGCTAGAGACTATTAAGACATGTCAGAGAGCTCTGCCCAGGGATCCGGCGCGCCTATAACACGATGGTGAGTTATAAAGACATCCTTGGGTTTTGTCCAGTCCAACCTGTCCTCCTTGGTGCGCACCAACGACTGCCACATCTCCCGTTTGTTTCTCCGTCCTTCCCAGGCAAACAGAGAATGGGCCCACTTTCCGCCAAACCCCTCTCCCCTCCTATTCTTTTCTTTGGCCCATTCTACATCGTTAGTACCCTCAAGGTCAAGGTTATTCTCGCCCCATTCCTCCGAAACATTGGTACCGTCTATAACATCGCAAAGCTAGAGCATGTCGTAGGTGTCTAAACAGCTTTGAATAAAGACATCCAGCTTGGGATACGGCAACCCTCTGGGACTGCGTGTGAAGTTGGAAGGGTCACAGTCAATATGCATGTCGATTGAAGGAACGAGGAAGAAGTAATGATTAATCCCTCTGCTTTTGAACCGGTGGTATCAGTAGATTAGAGAGCAGGGACTGTAATAGGGCCACGGTTTGACTAGGTGATACTGTGTTGCATATGGTTCTGATTGTAGTAGCTCTGCTGCCTGGCCCACGAGCTCTGTAGGAACGCAAATTTCCCAGTCCTGCGACATGAGACAGATCAAGTTAGCCTCTGCATAAAAAGGTAGAAGGAGATAGAGCTCCTGAGCGACTTACATCACGAACTCTGCCAGCGCCGTAGAAAACGAGGGCAGCTATACCAACCAGACAGCAAGGGATACCATGCTGTTCCAACACCCGAGTAACGGCAAGAGGATCATCCGTGCCATATCCACGATTAGACGCGCATTCGTTGCTGTATGTGGACTCGGTGTCTGAGCAGTCTCTGGATTCATTGGTTTTGTCGTCACTATCCGACCCGGCCTGCGAAGCAGTGTCCAGAGAAGACAGGGGATGAAGTTTTAGCCAACTCATGATTGCCCCAATAGAAGCAGATCAAAAATGACGGCAGTATTATGACTTGTTGAGCAATAGATAATGGAGCGCCCCTACTCACTAGAGAGGATTGAAGTGGATTCTCGGGGAAGAGTCCGTACTCGGAGGGAGTCGATTGGCCTAATTGCACGAGGCCCAGGCGGGTAGTAGAACCTTCAAACAACGGTAAAATACTCTATTAAACGTAGCCTAGAGTATCTGAGTGCTTGAGTGCTTAACTATCAAATATGTGTGTGTGTGTATGTTTCTATTTTACGTCGAGGTTCGGGGTCTTTCCACGCATCCTTGGATTATGATGAAGGTCGGATGAATATCGGACCGATCTAGTGAGCTCCGGAGAAGTTTTATCGTACGGCGATGGAACACTCTCAGTTAGTTCTAGTAAGCACTCTACAGCAGACTCAATACTACGTACATTCCCTACTGCGCGATACTGTCTCTACGGCCCACGGCTGTCATATGGGCCTCGTACGGTAATCCGGAGAATCGGCACCGCTGCCCCGAAGCTTCCCCGTTTCAGAACACGTACGAATTCATCGCCGCCATACTAACGATTCTTTCTGCTTCAACGAGTTCTTTTTGTACATATCTATATATTAGATAACAAGGCTTCGGCCCATTACACCCTCCCCCAATACCCCACCTGATTCGTTGTGTAACCACGAGAATATTTGCTTTTTCCAGAGCCATCTCATTCCACGCTGGACAAGCTCACCCATGGATTCGTCTAACATCAACATATGCGGTAATCTCCTGCTATCAGATAGTCTAGCCAGCTTTACCCTCTTTAAAGAATGAACAGGAGATATTGTCAGATTGCTGAAGTAAAGGCTTGGTCCCTAACATGTAATCCAATTATTTCTGAATAAAAAACATGGCGGTTTAGTGGTGATTAAAGACGTCAAAATTTACGGTGTTGAGCAGCAAGGGTATATCTGATAGAGTTGCATTCGGCGCGGGTTGGCGCGGATTTTGTGGCTTCGCTGTGTCACTCTAGTATATCATGAATTCCGGAGCAGCTCAGTGGTTGGCACCGCTCGGTAGTGGACTCCGTTATCGGATTTGCTTATAACGGAGTATTACTGTACATGTCCAGACTAACATTAACTAGTTACTTGTGTTTTGTCACACATCAGCTGAACTTTCCAGTCGAACTTTTCAGCCAGCCATCCTCTTTCCATGCACATTTGTTGACTGAACTGGACTTGATTTGCGCTGATATTGGTTCTTGTGATTCTCCACAATTCGAGCTGAACTCTAACTTGGTTCACCCATAATGGTAGCAAGGGCATTATGTGCAACCCAGGAGAGAAGCATAAGAAGGCAAGCTCGCCCTTCACCTTTTGATCACCCTTAACCAAGGTCCGCATAACATTGGAAGAACACGCGTCTTTGTCCTCATCAATTTTGTGTTTATACTACCCAATATGCCAATTTATTTCTATCCTCCAGCACGCAAGCGACATTTCAAATCACTTTACTGTCCACCCGATTGTATAATTCCGACTGGCGACACTCAGGCTTACAAGCTTTTTCCAAAGTCTCGTTGGGTTTATAACAAGCTCATAGTCGCGGAGCTACAAGGGATTGAATGTGGGCCACATGCGACTGAGCCAGATGATAATCTCTATCCAATTTTCAGTAAGCCCTTGCTGAGTCTCTGGGGCAATGGGACGGGCGCACGAGTCATCAAATCCCAGGAGGAATACTGGCGAGGCATTACACCAGGGCACATGTGGTGTACTTTACTGTCTGGGAAACACTATAGCTCAGACATTGCTGTGGTTGCTGGAAAACCAGTATGGTTCAGCCACACAATAGGTGTGCCGGGTCCATATCAAACATTCGACTACTGGGAGGTCAATGCCACAGCAGAGGATGATGTACAGACGAATATCACTAGCTTTATTGAGACTCATCTGAATGAACATACCGGGATGTTGAACGTGGAATCAATCGGAGGAAAGATTATCGAGATCCATTTGCGATTCACGGCCCAGTGGCCTGATCTGTACGGATCCCGGTTCCTCCCTTCTGTGGTGGACCTCTACTGTGGCAAGGGTTGGACTGGTCCGGCGACAAGCGAGCAAATGGCCTACAGTGTCCCATTGTTTGATGATGAAAAATATGCAGTCATTTCATCCTCCATTCTGTCGGATACTATACAGAAAATGGAAAAGGCTTTCCATCTCAGCAGTATAGTGGTGGAGTACGATCCAACGGTTCCCCTGGAATCATGGCCTAGGCCCTCGGGTGGCTTCAGGATAGCAACTATCAATGGGTTTGACTTGGAGAGGTGCAAGTCAGCTAGACACATGTTACAGACCTATGTGCATGATCTGTATCACAACCAGGTGACTGGAAGCATCAACACTTGAATGAAAAACTCTTGGATGAAAAACTGTACTCCTGTTTCGAACGAGTGTCCCAGATCCTATGACCGTTTTGCCTTGAAATTATGTAATTAGCTAGCAACGTACCTAGGAATGCATGGACCTTTTTGAATTTCAATGATCATTTGGATCGATATCGGACTGGTTTACGAGGAGTAGGTCTGGCACTTGCGGAATAGGTCCATGGCGGGCTTGAAGGAAAATATTACAGGGACCAAAGATCAGAATCTGAATAAGTTGTCTGAGCAGAAAAGTCGGAAAGAAGAGGAGGAGGAGGATGCATGTAAGGACTGGTTATTGTCACAGGTTCGGAATAGTAGATACTAACGAACTGAATTGCTATCTGAAGTAATTGTCACAGGCTGCGCCTATAGAATAAACGATATGTTATTATCTCAAAGCCAACGGACGAAGCAGGAGTCTCGGTGTTTGAACGACCATTTGATTTGAGAGAAGCATCCGGGCTGTCGACAGATGAAGTGTCACTGCACATTACCCGGGGTCTTTTTGGGAGGTGCTGCAGTTTAATTTGGATGTCATGTTTGTGAATGGTAGCCGCATGGGCCAAGAATTCAGTGACTTTGGTGAACTTAGGGACACCGCCGCAGGCTGCCCCAGGTACAGCTGATCCCGTCGTGCGCACAGGCGAGATGAAAATCAATGAGATGGCGGCGAAGAGAATCTTTTCGCCTGGAGGGAAATTTATGAGGAGGAGGATTAGATGCTGAACGCCGGGATAAACTGTAACAGATGATGCAAACATCCGTTGAACAATCCAGGGTTTCCTCTTTAGGAATCAATGGCTCTTCAGATTTCTCACTTTCATCACCATCCATATTCCAGTTGAATCGGTTGCCCCGCCGATTCGGCTCGCAGAGCTGCATGAGGGCAACCATGTCCTTGGTAACTTGGATATGTCGTGCAAGCAGCTTATCCTCATTAAAATTCTCCGCTTCAGGTCCGTAGAAATTTTCCACGAGGCGTGCCCGCTCAGGAAAGACGTATTTCAGGATGAGAAGTTCCCAATCTTCATTGCCAGAACTGTCGGCATCACAGTCTTCGACATCAGACTGGCCGAGAAGTTGCTTGATCTGTCTGTCGACTTCGAGCACGGGCGCATTGTGAAAATGTTCCTTTCTGGCTGTCTCTTGGGTGTCGTTTGCTAGGGTTTTTCTGAGCTGAGAGAGCTCTTTCCTTTACTGCTTCGTGCCTTTGGTAGAGGTGAGGGAACGGCTCTTTCACATTTTGGACAGTGCCAGCCAGTGATCGCATCTCCTCTATCAGCTCTCTCTTCTCTCGTCGAAGTTCTAAGATTGTGGGCTTTTGGCAAATGGCACGTCGCTGCCCGTCGGTAAGATCGTACGGGGCTGAGAGATCCCTTTTCCTGAGCATGCTTCCAGCGAGCCGGAGGAGACCTTCCTGAGACGGTTGGAGGAGGACAACATGCTGAAGATCGCGCCGGATAAACTCTGATTGGTAGTGCTTTTCAAAAACCGCATCGCCAGACTGGCCAAGTACCCTTTTCTGCTCCTGACTCGTAAAGTTCCCTGTGGACGGCAAGTTAGAAACAGTAATAGAAGGATTCCATCATCCACGGCAGCTGTATTTTCCGCCAAGTTGCGTTCAACAGGGAGGAACGTACGGTTAACTTCATTTGCAGTCCAGCGCCGGTAGTTATAATGACTAATGTCATCCTCGAACCTTGCATCGCGACCTAACTCGTGGAGCGCTTATTGGCTGGAGTCATACGTCATTGGCAAAGATTTATCAAGTTTGTAGCCGTATGGGGTGCGCTCAACTCGCTGAAGGAGAGGGATATCAAACATCTCCGGCTTCCGTCAGAGGGGAAGAGACTGGTTGCATTTAGGGACTTGAAGCCGCCATATTAGTTCTGGTGTTAGCGCGGTATTAAAAAAAGCCCTGTCGCGGAAGGCATATGAGATAATTTGGTTGATCAGACAGAATGCCAGTTGATAATCTCCGTGCATAAAGAATTTGGTCCTGATGAGAATATCATCAGCATCGGAACAGACAGGCGTCCCTGGGAACATATACTATAGAAGATGCCCTTGCCCATCAGCACCTTCTGGCCGACCTCTGAGATTGTGAAACTCGATGATGGCACAAAGGACGTCACGTTTGCTGTCTGGGTCTTTAAGATAGAAGAGTTCGATATCACAGTAACAGATTGTGTCTGGGAGATCATCCAATGATACATGTTTGGGGAGGTCGCTCTGGAAAGTCTGGTCCCGCTTGCATTTGCCCAGGGATGACTTGTCCGCCAATGAGGCTTTCTGCGGAAGTAGCACGCCTGGTCAAGTGCCGGTGATGGAGGACCAGAGCTGGATTGTCACAAATTGAATGATCATGCTCCCGTGCCGGAAATATCTCGAATGGATCCAGTGATGGCGGTAGGTGACGCAGAAGACATCCACATCCAGGGTGTTCTTCTTCTTCGTACGCCTGGCGATCTGGCGCTCGGCAGGGAATACGTGCTTGAGAAACTGTTGTCTATATTAGACCTGCACCCGTATGGACATGATGAAAGCAAGCGTACTCGTCGCATCTGTTCATGGACTTCCCCATTCAGGCGGCGCCGGGCGAATAAACCAAAGTATTGGCAAAGGCGCTGCCAGTATTCATCATACAACTGGAGAAGCTTCTTCCAAGAGGTCTTGTACATCCAATCGAAGAAATTCATGTAAATCGCTTGGTCCTCCAAGAGTAAATACTCAACGTAGTCCTCATTTGACTGGATGCAATATCTGTTGGTCATTGGTTATTTCTGAACCATCTTTGGAGTAGTATGAGTAGAACGTGCTCACTTTTGCCAGTATCGTTTGATAACAGCAAGACCTTCAAGCGTCTTGGGCTTGTAGTTTGGGGGAAGCCATCCGAGGCTTCGGAAATATTCCAGTCTGGCTTGAGTTTCTTCACAGAGAATTGGATCGGTCCAGTACTGATGCTCATCAGGGTTCGCAGGAGGAAGGGAAGGGGGTGCCATTACAACGACCAGAATTAAATATCAGATAAAGGGAATTGTGTTCTGGTTCACGCAATGATTTACTCAGGGATTGGAGAGGAAGATTTGAGGCGGGTGAAGGATGGGAGGGTGAGAGGAAGAGGAACGGAGTGAGGGCAAGTGGCATTTTGTAAGTGTCCGACCAGGCCGGCTGAAATTGGAGGGGGCTGTATCTGGCACTATGATCAAACTGCTTGCGCAAAATAAAGAGGGATGGGGCAACTCAGGGTGCACGTGACTGATCACTGAGCAAGCCCCTGAGCACCCTCATAGAAGCGGTGGCATCCGGAAGGGGAAAGTCACGGTCGCTCTAGAAAATCAAGTTCGTATAGGAACATATATATTATAGAACTACATTTCTCATATTCTTCAATTTCATAATTCTTTGACAGCTACAAATTCCTTGTCAGTCTTTTCATACATTTCTGCCCACCCACCTTTTGCAAACCCTCGTGGATATCTTCGACACAATGGAAAACCCCCTCTTCAACGCCGTCAAGGGAAATTTCGATCCCGATCACTTACCAATTGACGAGTTCAACATTCTCTACAACCTCGTCAGATATCCTAATGCGTCGGTAGAAGAAGCAGTGGAAAAGGTTGTCAATCTCACTTTGAAAGAGCTCACTACATTAGATGATGGCTTTGTCTTCAATATTTGCACTCTGATTATAGACATTGCTACCAATATCGTACCTGCTGAGCAGGCAAATCTTGTTGAATTTGTCTCACAACTCCAGAAAACCTCTGTGAGAAATCCAAAAACAGGAGAGCAGGTTAGGGATCAAGACGGACAATGTGTATGGCAAGATCTTTCCACATTGGGGATATATGTTACTGATTTTTGGAACTTTGGTAAGTTTATAACTATTATGATTACTATGTATTTACTCTAATATCATTTCCAGATCACCATGAATTTCACACACAAACTGAGATAATGAAATGGGAAAATAAAAATGCCTTCTTAGCACAGCTTACTGCCACTGCAAGAGTTGACTATGATGATACCAAGTCTTTGCATCCCCTGGACTTTGCAAACTTTGGCCTATTCGCATTAAATGACGCCTTCGATGGTGATAGAGATGGCCAAGAAGGGGAACAGCCCGAAACAGCAGTACGAGCAGCCTCTCTGTGGATCAAGATCGCAGCAGACCGGCTTTGGGCTCATTGTAAAAACCAGCGGCCTTTTGACAAGTACGATGGATGTGAGGAAAGGGGCTTTGATGTTGAACGGTGGAATGAGTGGAAACAGGGTGTAATAGCTGCACGGGATGCTCCGTGTGTAGTGTGTAAATGGAGAGACTAGAGAATTGATCGAAGATGCCTTGAAACAGATCAGTCGGGCCGAGGCAGAAATATAACCGGCCTAGTATAATATGCCTGTTCTATGTCCTTTCACGCTGCCAATATCTAATCGATATCCACATTTAACCCTTCCTATCTCCTAGTTGTGTTAGATGAGCTTGTTCGGAAAGCATTTCCTCGCGTTCAGTTTCCTAGATCAGTCTCAGTTTCGTCTGATAGTGCCAAACACTCCATCTCTTTTCTAGCGTGTAAACCTTCCTTGGAGACAACGGGCACATGTGTAAGTGATGCAAACGGGACAAACATTGCAAAGTGCCGAGTTCCCACCAGATAGCATAGCTTATCTACGAACCTCCTGTGAATGCGATTTTGCATAGGACATTTGTAGGTTTGTCAGTGGGTTCACGACGGATTCCGGGGAAAGGAAGCCCAAGCGGCAGAAAGTACCGTACATGGCCGCTAACTGTAAGGGATTAAACCCCGGAAGATATTGTCTAGCTATGTACAGGAAGGATTCGATAAAAAAAGAAAGCCTGTCTATCTAGGGCACTAGCATACATATACCTGATGCGGGATCAGGCATCTAATCAAAATTGAGGAGTAACTAGTTACACGTATATTTTGACTAACATACTAAGCGGGGAAGAGAGTCAAAAGTTTCATTCAGCGCTGTTTCAGCCTCAAAAACCGTGTCTCTGAAAAGATATACGGCAAAAAGGAAAAGTGCAAGTTAAGTGAAATAATGTCTACTCATGCAAATGTGTTTTTAAGATAAAAGATGATGGAGGGCCGAGCGATAAAGGTCGTCTAGTCGAGTTGAGAGAGCAGTCGGAAGAGATGAAGAGTGAAGAAATAACGGTGAATGACTTTTGACTCCTGAATCAGGATGCCGAGTCTATGATAAATCACTGATTCGATGATTGATTAGCCAAAGCCACGATATACCACCTTAACACACGACAACAAATCATCAGCCCGTATCTGAGCCTCTGCGTAAGCTTATCTCAGTCTAGATTACCGCGGAGTTCAAATCGCGCAGCCGTATCAAATTAACATCTCCCCTATCGGGTATAGCCATTAAATGCAGCACCGGTGCATCAAGATAAGATTAGATAGAACCGTTCTAGCCTTCAGAGTATTATCGAGGATAGTACACGGTTACCTCGCTTGTTATTGCCCATTATTATTGCCAAGGTGCTATGGTAACCAGTAAGATACAGATGCCGTGCACCATACCCCGCATCTTATCTCGATGGTAATAGGGCTGCCATCGCGACATGTTCAAGTAAATATACTCTATCCCCTATGTTGGTGGCCGGTCGCAGTGACAATGTCTGAAATGTCCACCATGGGGGATAAAGGCAGCCCTCTTCAGGCCATTGTCGAAGCAGACTTATTGGACGAGGTATCTCACTTTGCGATCATGTCTACAGTCAGTGAACTAACGACTACAGAGATACCAAACCACTCAACGAGGCCTCAAAAACCGCCATGTCCAGCTCATCGCCCTGGGCGGTACGATCGGTACCGGTCTCTTCGTCGCCTCCGGCCAAGCGATGGCCATCGGAGGACCTGCAAGCCTACTCGTCGGGTATATCATTATTTCGGTCATTATCTACTCGCTGGTCACCGCGGTTGGCGAGGTCGCTTCGTATCTACCGGTCCATGGCGCGAGTATGAGTTATCACGGCTTTCGCTACGTGTCGCGCAGTCTGGGGTTTGCGATGGGATATCTATACTGGTACTCGCTGGCGATTTTGATGGCGTACGAGTTGACAGCGTGCTCGTTGATCATATCGTACTGGAATACGAGCATCAACGTCGCGGTGTGGATATCGATAATGCTGGTTGTGGTGGTTGCGCTGAACTTCCTGCCGGTTCGCGGATACGGCGAGGTAGAGTTCTGGTTCGCCGGTGTCAAGATCATCACTCTACTAGGGCTCTTCTTGCTATCGTTTATCCTCATGCTGGGCGGTGGTCCTGACCACGATCGAAAAGGCTTTCGCTACTGGAACAACCCGGGCGCAATGAACGAGTACCTCGTTGGAGGTAATGCCGGTCGCTTCGTCGCGCTTCTAGCGACTATCCAAAAAAGCAGTATCGCCTTTATCTTCGGCCCAGAGCTGATCGTCCTCTCTGGATCTGAAATGGTCTCGCCGCGACAGAACGTCTCCCGCGCAGTACGCAACTTCGTCTATCGACTAGTATTTTTCTACATCCTTGGAGCCCTGGCCATCGGCATCATCTGCCCATCTAACGATAGCAGACTCACCAGTGGCGGCTCAGGAGCTGGCTCTTCGCCGTTCGTGGTGGGAATCAAAAACGCCGGAATCCCAGTATTAGACCATATTATCAACACCGCGATTTTGACCAGCGCATGGTCAGCCGGAAATGCATTCCTGTACATGTCCTCGCGATCGCTGTACTCGCTGGCGATATCCGGTAATGCGCCAAAGATATTCAAGACCTGCACTCGTCGTGGCGTGCCATACTACGCGGTCGGCGCTTCCTCGCTCTTCGCGGGCCTGGCCTACCTCTCTGTCGGGAGCTCGAGCTCCGTGGTTTTCAACTGGCTGGTAAACTTCACCAACACGTCTGGCTTCATCTCGTGGGTATGCTGCTGCGTCGTGTACTTCCGTTTCTGTCGCGCGGTTCAAGTCCAAGGCATCGAGAAGCCGTACGAAAGCCGCTTACAACCATGGGGCGCATACATCGGCATGGCAGGCTCCATCTTCCTCATGCTCATCAACGGCTTCACGGTATTCTTCCCATCAGAATGGTCCGTTAGCAACTTTTTCACGGCGTATATTGGCATCCCGGCATTCCTTGCGTTGTACTTTGGCCACCGGATCGTTTATTGGCAGGATCCGTGGGCGTGGAGACCGGAAGACGTGGACATGCAGACCGGATTGCAGGAGATTCTCGAGGCCGAAGAACCGCCGCGACCTCGGAGGACGTTGAAGGAGAAACTGGGTGTCTTGGTCGATTAGCCCTACGATAACGTCATGTTGTTTTCATATCGCGATCGATAAGATAGGCTGATAATGATAAGATGATAAGATGCTATCGGGGACCGGCGCAGTCCGTGAGTCTTGTATAGATACGGTGAATATAAATACTTGGAAGCGGTAACTAGTTATGCTGCATTTGTAATTCGCTGCATTTGACCGCTACTCCAACTGTCTATTCTGTACACTGACGTATTCGCCATCCGCGAGCTCAAGGGGTATAAAGTCAATCGACCTCGATCCGTTGTTCTTCCTGACAACTTGGCCGCTCAACCAAATCAACTCAAAATGACCATCGACATCCGCCCATTAACGCCTCCCCCGGGCTCCGACATCAAATTCGGCGCGATAGTCGACAACATCGATCTCGAGAATCTCACTGGTATGTCAATCAACAGTTGACAACAGATGATCGATGCTAACAGAACAGACGACACATTCAACTCGCTCCACGACGCACTATACAAAAACCTCGTCCTCGTCTTCAAAAACCAACACCACCTCACCCCCAAAGCCCAATACGCCCTGACCCAGCGCTTCGACCCATCATCCACCTCCTACGGCCACGGCAAGACCCTCGATAGCAAGCGGAGCATTCTACATCCAGATCTCAAGACCGTCCCGCACCAACCACAAGTCCAAATTATCGGCCACGGCCACATCGACTCCTACGAGGGGTTGGACAATATCCAACTGAAACACCCGCATCATCGGAGTTTCCATCGCGATCCGATTCCCCCGGAAGATGATCATGATTTCACGCGGTTTTATCGGTGGCATATTGATGCCGCGTTGTACGATCTCTACCCGCCGAAGGTGACCACGTTGCTGGCTGTGCAGGTTCCCAAGGGACGGCGTCAGACACTCCGCTATGACGACGGAACGGGTGATACACTGGACGTGCCACTCGGTACAACGGCGTTCGTTAGCGGTGAAACGATGTATAACCGGCTTTCAGAGGAAGAGAAGGAGTTTGTGCGGACGAGTAGGATTGAATATGCTCCGCATCCGTATGTCGCCCTCACCAATATCCGTCTACGAATATGTGCTGATTAATTAAATAGATACATCTGGATGAGTCCGGCCCGCGCCCTCCCCACCGGTCTAGGCCTTCACTCCGAGGACCTCGAACTCCCCGACTCCGACCTCCCCCCCATCGACCCCACCAAAGTCATGACACTCCCCTTGATCTGGAAGAACCCCATCACCGGGAACCCAGCACTACAAATCCACCCCTCCGCCGTGCGGAAGATCCACCGCGACGACGGGACGGTGATCGACGACCTGAAAAAGGTGCGAGAGATCGTGTATAATCTGCAGAGACCGGCGATTTCGCCACAGTATGTGTATGCGCATGATTGGGAAGAGGGGGATTTGGTGCTGTTTAATAATCGGGGGGTGTTGCATTCTGTTGTTGGAGCTTTTGGGGATGGGGAGGTTAGGTTGTTTAGGCAGTGTAATTTGGCTGCGTCGGAGGGTGTTGAGTAGCCGTATAGATAATATCAGACTTGCCATGTTTAGTAGTCGATCATGATAATTGGTTCATCTCGACCGATCTACAGATATTCCCGATGTACGAAGCAAAATGAAGCGTAGACTTCTACCTACACCTACTATACAGATAAAACTACCGTACAAACTCTATACAACCACTAATCAACCCGACAAAGCAACCCCGAGTCCAAATCATAATCCCACCGATCACTCCCAACCCCATTCCTCACAAACAAACTCTCACCCGGATCATACTTCATCTTAATCCCCAACAACTCCTCATAATAAACCCCATAAAAGTCCTTCTTCCAATGCGTGTTAAACGTATTTGCCTCATTCATATAAGCCCCCGTATCCGGCGCCCACACCCTCCAGTATGCCTCACGATGCGTCTCAGACCACTTCCCAGCATTGGGGAGCTCGACGCTCGGAACGCCCGTTGCATTGATTGGCGTGCCGAAACTGAGAACGTGCGCGTAGACGCTCCGCCAGACGGGATTCACGGCGCCGCGGAGGTGAGATGGGACGGTTCGAGGGCCGCGACCACCTTGGAGGCCGAAAAGGAGCATGGAGCCGTTTTCGCCCTCGACGAAGTTCTGCAGGTGTCTCTTCAGGTCGGGCATTGGGAGGTCAGTGAGTTCTGCGCGGCCGAGGAGACGGGAGGACATGAGTGACGACGATACAGTGGCCGACGGGGAGCTGTTCGTGCTGTTGAAGAAGGCGAGGAAGCTCGGGTGTGATTCGATAGCGCCGAGTGTTGCGATGATAGAGCCGGTGCGGTTGGTTGCGGCGATGGCTTTGGTGGCTAGGGAGTGGAGGACGGTGTGCAGTTGGGCTTTGGTCATGTTGTAGCCATAGAAGGAGGGTGCGATCACGGCGCCTGGGACGGTATAGTTGGCGCCAACCATGCTTTTGCCAGAGACGCCAGCTGCGATATTGATGGTACCAGCGAGAGGCAGAGAATCCATGAGATCGGGGATACTGCTTAGCACAGCGGTGACTGCGCTCCAGGCCTCGTCTGCGCTAGCGTTGCGGGCTCCGTACACGCTCAAGCTACCGGTGACCACGTTCGATGGCGCAGGGTGACTCTTCAGCACGTATTCGGTGACAACACCATACTGTCCAGCACCTCCGCCCTTGATCGCCCAGAAAAGATCGCGATTCTGGACGTTGTTGGTCACCAGCACTCGGCCGTCCGCCGTAACAACCATGGCCTGGAGGATCTGATCGGCCCCCAGGCCGAATTGGCTGGAGAAGGGACCGTGGCCACCTCCTTGGAGATATCCTCCAAGACCAACACTGTGGTCACCGCCACCGACCACGATACGGTTGTGCTGGTTGGCAAAGCTGTAGAGCACGCTCCAGGTGTTTCCACTGCCGGTGACAATCGCGTTTTCCGTACCGTTGCCGTCGGGCAAGCGCCATTGGGGATGGTATTCGATGTTCCGGAGGGCGTGCGTCCAGATACTTAATGCGTATGCGCCGCTTGACCTGTTCATTGTGAGCACCCCATTCTCTGGAACAGAAGGAAAGCGACGTACCGTCCGCTATAATCATGTCCAGTCCCTTTAACCACAACACGAATATTCCGCTTCGTCGCCCACGCAACAGCAACAGCAACCTGATGCTCAGTCTTCGCCTCGACTATATACGAAGGCGAACCACCAACAACACACCCTTTGCTCGGATTATACCCCGAAACACCAGGCGGAAGACACGAGTTGTTGGCGTACATCGGAGAATCGATACCCTCCGGCAGCGCAGCCTGGTACTCCTCATAGCTCCAGTTCTTGCGAACCTCGTCGCAGGAGTTGGAGACGTTGAAGGGATTTCCGGGATAGCATGCGGAGGCTGCTGGTGCGGTTCGAATAAGGGTGCCGTCGATGGATGCGTTCAGGGCGTGCCATTCGTCGAACGATGGCCAGGAAGCGTCCATGGGAGAGGTCTTGCATTGTGGGCGGGCGAGGGCGATGCCCGGGGCGAACAAGGAGAGAGCGAGAAGTTTGAGGGCTCCCTTCATGGTGTCGATTTGAAAAGGATGTCCTTTTTTCTGGAATACTGCATACTGGGAGGAGCAATTCTTATGTCCCCGTTCAACACGAGTACGGTGCGATTTCTCAAACAGCCCTAGAGATTAATATGCTATTGAAGCTTAAAAATAGATTGCAACAGCGGCTTTTATTGTTGGAAGATCAAAACTCGGGATCCCGATCAACGGTCCCTGACACGATCCAGTTGCCGGATTGGGAAATCCTGTCGTATTCGTGTCCCGCTTATACTCCGGGATCCACACCCTAATTTTTCGAGGATATCCAAGGATACTCGTATGAAACTCGTGCATATCGTAATGGACATTAGAATGATTAGGCAGCGAAATTGTTGATAAAATGGTGGCCCTTCGATATACAGGAGCTCGATGCATTTTGATTGCGAGCATAAGTTAGTCTCACCACTAGACAGGGTGGATTGCGAATGTCGCAATTGACATACACATATGCCAGGTTCTGAAATCAAAGAGACTCCTGACCATTTGTGATCAAGAACTCCGTGGAATGCGAGAAGGCCAACTTTTTAACCGCCATCCAGGAGCCGTGGGTAAGCTAACGAGACACTCGGTGAGCCCATGGCATCCCCCCGAAAACAAGAGATGGAATATATCAAAGACAATGATTAATGGAACTGCGAGGGACTCTGATGACTATGAACGGGAAGCGCGAAGAGTGAGAGGCGAAATGCACCAGACTAGGTTGTGTTGCAGTAAACGAATGTAAATGTAATAAAATCGACAGTATGCTATCAGTATAATCCAAATGGCTAAATTACAACACGTATCCAAAATGCAAGTATATACAAGAAAATCAATATAGAACAAGCAATCACCTCACGATGTAGAAACCATTCACAGTCACCTGCTGATCCATCTTCTGTGCCGTCTCAGATCGAACCCCAATCCAATGTAACGGGGCTTTCTCGAGCCGCGTCCGCGCAGCGGCGTACCCACCCTTCGTTCGATCCAACAAACCAACGTTTTCTTTCTGAGATTCCGAGACCAACCTTGGGATGTCCGGTGCCCACGCAGGGTGATCCAAGACTACCTGTGCATACGAGACATCGTACGTATCCGCGAATCGGGCCGCTTCTGCAGCGGCCTGTCTGGCTTCGAGGAGTTCATTTTCAGAGGCTGCGGTAGGAGGTGGCATCTCCGGGCGGATAAAACACATCACCCGAATTTGTAATTTTATTTGTGAGGGAAGTGGAATATCTTCAAGGATGCGGAGAGTAGTGGTTCGCTTCGTGATGTGCGACATGTTGACTCTGGTAATCGTAGACGGATCTACGTTAAGAACGGAGAGAACGCTCTGATACCAGTCGCTGGCAGGCTTCTTGTCGTCTTTCACATCCGATTGGTAAAAGCGAGCCCAGCACATGAAATACCCATGTAGTCGTTCTAGGATTGAATCCGGGACTTTGGTGAGGTTGACTACCGGCCAGTCTTGTAGCTCATATTGCGGCGGCGCGGCAGTTGGCTCCCATCGAGCTTTAAAGTCCATGGGAAATGGCGCTACCGGTCCTTGGTCCAGATTGTCAGGACCACTCTGAGCCCCGACATCCTCGTCATTCTGACCGTTCGGCTTCAAAAAAGACCCAACACGGTCTCCTAAGCCGGCCAAAGAGAACGCCGTCTGTCCAGCTGTTTGTTTGACGGCGGAAGGCTGGTAGGACTGGACTTTGTTCTGCACCTTCGACGCGGCTGGTGACAGGAACGCCTGAGCTACTGTCTGCGCATACGTACTGAGAACCATCGCCCCCAGTTCCAGCGGAAGGGTACTCAGACTGGCACCACGGATGGAGCTTGGATCCGCAGAAGTCGACAACACACGAAACACCGGGCTGTAGCACAAGACCTTTTTCTTTGCGTCCTGGCATAACACAAGTTGAAAATAACCATCTCCCGCCTCGACGGGGATTCGCGCCATTACGGTCTCCCGTAATTGGTGCGTATCTCGAACTTTGGCCGGGGCTTTTTTGTGGAATTTCATGACATCGCGCTGCCAGGCCCTTTCGTTCGCTGGGTCGACTTGGTCCGCGCGAAGAGCAACGGATGGTGTGACATTAACCCAGTCATCATGTAGCCGGAAAAGTGCCTTGGCTTTCATGCCCGTTTTGCCCGTGTACCCCTTGCTTTGGAGCCAGAACGTACGGCCCGGAGAAAGAGGAACATCTGAGAAAATGGATACCGTGACGGACGTGGTGCTGCCTCGGTAGAATACGATCCCATGTGAATGGCGTAGGATGGTAAAATGCTTGTTCGACTCCGTTGGATGGTTGATGAGGCCACCGAGAAAATGGCGCGCTTCTCCGTACGCCTTTTGGACGGCGGATGGGGCCGAAGGCGCAGCACCATTGTCAGTTACAGCTTGAGATACACCAGGCGATGGTGTCAATGGTGTCAATGCATCCGAACTGTTGGTATCATCTTGATGCAGTGACACCTTCGGGAGGGCGCTGGTCGAGACGTGGCTCGTTAAGGGGGGCCGCGGTGACAGAAGTGGCGGTGCAGCGGAAGAGGAACCTCCCGACGTTCTGGGACGAAGCGATGGATCTGGAATGTGTAGCAATGGCGGTTTCTGTCTCGCGTCATCCGGTACGCCCTCGTGGCTCGGATTGGCTGGAGCAACTGGCTTACGCTTGATGCGATGTTCCAGGGGCGGAACGCTGGGGCCACGTCGAGAGAGGTGCAATTGAGGATCGGAGGAAGCCATTGTGAATACCAAGGGTCAGCATGATGCTCTTGACGCGATTAGGGCTCAAAGTCAATTGTGCCTATCTGATCTACAAACACCGTATGTAGACTCCGTAGACTCCGATTCGGTTGAGATGCGAGATCGGCGGGATAGCGGCTGAGTCATCATTGCATAATTATTGCGTGCACAAAAATATGAAACTTGATTCGCGGTGGACTCCTGCCTCTTGGCAGATGTCAGTCAATGGACAATAATGTTATCCATTGAATTGTGCTTCTACGGAGTACAAGGTCGTTCCTGTGCGTGCTTCCATGGACAGCCAATCAGAATACAGATTGACCAGGGGCTATTTGCTTGGGGTATAGCCATCGTTGTGGCCAATCATATTCAAGTTTGTGGTATTTCCAGCCAATCATAATGCTTCTCAGCTGAACTTCCTTTTTAGGCCAGCGATCACTTTTTTTCTTCGATTTCCGGTGATGTTGGGATTTCTTTCTCGCGTTTTTTCGTTTCTTCCTTGTTCTCATCAGTTTTGGATTGGATCTTACTGCCGTCAACCCTCCACTCTGGCTGGTTTCCAGAGTGCGGTTAGCCTTAAAAGCGGACACATACAGAGCAACGGAAGGAACATTTTGCCCGTACCACTGGATAGCAAAGCATGACAGTCGACACCTCGTCCGAATCACAATCCCCCGATCGAAAACTCCAGGAGGATAGCGTCTCGACCTGGGATCATGACCCGCGCAACCCCTACAACTGGCCGACGTGGAGGAAATGGCTTACCATGTGCATTTCCTATTGGGTGACGATTCTGGTCGGGATCAATGCGACTTCGTTCACGACGCCCGCAGAAACCCTGTCTGCGGAATTCAATGTCGACAATAGCTTTTTCGAATTTAGCTTCTTTGCCGTGACTTCGTGGAATTTCACTGCGGCGGTTGTTCCGCTGGCGACGTTGCCGATGATGGAGACTTTTGGGTTTCGGGTAGGGTATACTGTATGTCCAATTGCAACCCCCAACAAATGTTCAGATGCTAACGAGACCAGGGGGCGTTTATCCTGTTCTTCATCTTCATCATCCCGCAGTGCGTGGCACAAAACTACGCGACGCTTGTGGTCACCCGTGTCTTTGCGGGTGCTTTTGGCGGCACTGTCCAGAATGCTGCTGATGGTATTGCCGCGAATATCTTCTTCACGGCACAAGAGCGGATCTTGCCATTGACGCTCTATGCGTTTACATTGATGCTTGGGGTCACCATTGGTCCTATACTGGGCGCTCTAGTGGAACCGCTCGATTGGCGATGGTAAGCTGCATTTATATGACATTGAAAATGGACAGCAGAGCCTAACAATCACAGGGTATTCTGGATTCAATTGATCATCAACGGAGTTACAATTCCCATTGTCCTTTTCGGCTTGAAAGAAACCCGGGGCCCAGTCATCCGGTCCAAGATCATGCCAGATGAAAAAGCAGATAGCGACGAGCCTGGCGCTTTAGCCACCCTGAAGGAGACTGTTGTTCGAGCAGCATTGCTGCTGACCACTGAACCAACCGTCACTTCATTCACCATGTGGTCTGCTTTCTCCTTCGGTCTGGTCTTCATCTCAACTCAATCGGTCCCCGTCGTCTACGCAGGCGTATACGACTGGCCGATCTACAGCGGCGGACTCGTGCAAGTTGCCATCGCAATTGGCGAAACCATCGGGACCATCGCCTTCCTGTTCCAAAACCAAATCTACATCCGCAGCGCACCCCACAACCCCGAAAAACCCGGTGTTCCCATCCCAGAAAGTATCCTCCACATTTCGATTCCCAGCACAGCCATCGGCCTCTCAGGCGGCCTGTTCATGTACGGCTGGAGCACTCTCGGTTCCCACTGGATAGTTCCCACAATCGGCCTCACACTAATCGGATACGGAATCATGACCATCGTCATCTCGGCCAGCGTCTACGTCACGGACTCATATGCCGGCTATGCAGCTAGTGCGATTGCCGCCGTGGCTTTTGGTGAGAATACGTTTGCTGCATTTTTACCGCTTGCTGCGAAACCAATGTATATCCGGTTGGGGTACCAGTGGGCTAGTTCGTTGTTGGCGTTTGTCGCGTTGGCGCTGGCTTTGGCGCCGACGGTGCTGTTGTGGAAGGGGAGGATGATTCGAAGTAAGAGCAAGGCGATTCAGAGGATGTCACTTTGATAGCATATATGTTGTCTTCTGGTGTACATACTATCGTACATTGTGATTTAGACTCGCACATAGAGTGTGTCTATCTAATTTCGCGCAATATTTTTCATATCCGAAGTCTTTGCTATCTCCCTTTGAAACAGCGACAAAGCTTTACTAGCCTGGGTGTGAGTCCAGCCCACCCTGGGTGACCCTACCAATACCCGTCCGCCCCCCGGGCGCCAGGGCTGTCCAGGCATACTAATTTTTAAACCGAAGTCGCCCACACTATTTCTCATTCTGAAAGACTATTTCATATTCTGACAATCTATCACGCTTTGCTCTTGCTTCGATACCATGGCAATGCAAGGAAAAGATTTCAACAAGCTTCTCGAGGCGTGAGCCAAACTCGCCGCATTACGAGGGTTTACGATCGAGTACCAAAATGAGCAGGAAAAATTGGAAAATACCATTACACATCGTGAAATAGCACCGGCTACTCATGATAAATACAATCGTGCGGCGGACAACTGGCTTTTGTGGGTTGTCAAATATAATCTTGAAGTCAAACTACTCGCTTATAGTCTCTTAAAAGGTGAAAACTTTCGAAGAGAGCCATGCGATACTGACGCATTGAAAGGTGAACCAGTCCCATCTCCCCAGCTGCTCAAGTTGTTTGTGGAAGATTTTCTTGTCTCGGCCTACTTTCAATTACCGAGAAAGGATCAGCACACATGTAGAAAGATGGATGGCATAGAAAGATACAGTCACTTTTTTGACAAATCCTAATTTCCGAATAACCATGACTTAATGTTTAAACCACAATTGAGCAAATTCAATATCAAAGAGTTTATTCAAACGATAGATTATTATTATTATTATTATTATTATTATTATTATTATTGTTCATACACGCATCTGTCAGCCCTGTAGGCCGAGTGGCGGCAGGTCCTGCGGGGCGGCCGGGTAAGCCGCCGTAATGGTAATCGCTATGTACACTGTCGCTTTTCTACACTTGTCCTGATATGTTATTCCACATGTTGTATGTCCCGTGCTGCTGCTTTTGTACTGCTGCTCCCGTGGCCGCGAGGGTCCATGGGCTTGTTGGATACTGCCTCGTTTCCATCCCTACTTTTGCAAGCGCACAACCCTGACTGCGCTATGCTGCCAGGTGATTCCTGCCCGTTGTCGTGACTCGGTATGTGGTTGGTAGAGCCTGGAACTGGCTTAGAAGACCTGTCTCAAGCATGAATCGCACCGCCTTTGGTACCAGGTCTGGCCGAGTTAGGTAAGCTCGGTAATCCAGCTCCCGCCTTGACCCCTGTGTAAGATGGCGTGTCCGTGGTCCTGCCTGGTTGGTACAGTGGAGAACATGGCGTATGTCTTGAAGGCCGTGTCCGCAGGCACATTCAGTCGATTCTATAGCTTTGAAGGTACCAAGATAACCAGCCAGCGCAATCTTTCCAGTTTGCATTTGAATGAGAACATAGACTATCTCACCTACAAATCCTCCAACTCAATGTTGGCAGAAACTGGGAAGCGCATGAAACTGCGCTCCAAATAGCTTTTGAAAATGACTGTCATGCAGTGTTAATTCAAGAGCCCTGGATATTCACAGACCGCTCACGCCGACTATCTAAGAACCACCCATCCTTCCACCAACTTGCCCCGATTGAAGACTGGTCAGAAAGACCACGAGTCCTCACCTATATACTAAAACACCCACAACTGAGAGCGGAACTAGCCCCTTTTGGACCAGCCTCCAGGGATATTCTGGCCGTTCGAATTGGCACCTCCCAAAAGACTGCACTCCTGGTCAACATCTACAACGCGCCCCGCGGCGCAATTGAAGAGGGCCAAGGCCTGGGCTCCCTTATGACACAGCCAATCCCATCCTACCCCTGCCTGGTAGCCGGGGACTTTAATCTCAAACACCCAGCATGGCAGTCCTCCACCCGACCCTCCCCAGGAGCTGAACCCTTCCTTTCTTGGACAGAATCCCAGAACCTCACCCTCACACTCCCCACAGACTCGCCAACCCGTGGACAAAGTATGATTGACCTGGTGTGGGCCAATGACTCAATGCTAGCACTTGGCACATCCTCAGAGGTAGCCACAGATCTCCCTCCCTTAGCAGATCACGAGCCCATCATATCAACTATCAAGTGGAGCGCCATCTACCCCCCTAGAGACACCCCACCCCTTCGCTGGTCTACCCTCAACGAGGAGCTTTTCCAAGAAGTGATCCAAGGAGAGAGAGAGCATTTGAATGAGATGGTCTCTACCCTTCCTTCCCACCCTTCTCCTGCCCAACTGGATGAACTTGCAGCCATTACCACTCAGGCAATCTCCACTGCTCTGGAAGCTTCCACTAAAAGAGCATTCCCTCGGCCCCAGGGCCACAAGTGGTGGAACCAGGACTGCTCTAGAGTAGTCAAAACCCTCCGCAGGGTTGTACGAAACCCAACATCCACATCAGTAGAGTGTCACTCGGGGCGGGGCGGGGTGGGCTTTGGCATGCAATGCCCCGCCCCAGCGGGCTTTGGGGCGGGGTGAGCCATGATGCTGCCCACCCCAAAGCCCCGGTGGGTTGGGGCGGGTTTTGCCCCAAAACCCCGAGACTCTCCGTGCTATACCCAATCCGTCAATCGGATGTCGCACTATTCCAACCATGGTTAGTTTGGGGCAGCTAATGGGGCGGGCTGGGGGCCCCGCCCCAAATTCTCGGTGTTTTTTGTATTCCCATACCAATCAACGTATCGACGACATCAACATGACATAGAGCGACTAGCCAAAAGCCATATATATTGATATATATCGATATATATAAATATAGAATAGATAGAGTAATCAGTACAGAGCCATAGATATCGATATCTATCAATATATCAACAGGTAATAGAGTGATTTGTAGGAAGTCATACATGTCAAGAGAGATATATATATATACACGTCGATATATTGGTATGACATAGAGCATTCGGTCAAAAGCCATATATATCGATAGATATCGATTTATATTGATTGATATATATAGACGATATGCAGAGCAATCAGCCAAGTGCCATATACATCGATCGATTCCAACATATAAGCATGGAGCAATTGCTGAAAAGCCATGCCTTCCTGTAAGGCCTTGTAAACGGGGTGGGGTGGGGCTTTGGGGCAACCCGCCCCAAACCAGCCCGCCCCAATGGGGCCCCCAAAAATCAGCGGGGTTGCGGGGCTGTCCGTGACACTCTACGCCCTACCAAACGCGCCCCAGCAATATACCAGCTATGACAGGACCCAAGTGCCCATAACCGAGCAGATGGCTCTGGAAGAGTTCAAGCTTCAGACAGGCCTTTGCCCCTTGAAGTTCTATTTTTCAAACAAAAACCCACTATCTAGCACCCTCATCATGGCTGTCCCTGAAGACCAAGCCAGAGCAGTCCCTAAATGGATCAACCTCTTTGGCAAGAATATACAAGTCAAACACAAACCCTTCCAAGCCTGCATAGAGCAGTGCACACAATGCTGGGACTACCACAACCTGCAGGCCTGCACTCAAACACCCAGGTGTTGAATCTGTAGCAAGAGGGACCACATGGAAGAGTCCCACTCCTCCCGGCCACTGCGCTCTGCAACGGACCTAGCTGCAGCTCTGATCCATGATGTTGAAGAAGCATGGGCACGAGGCCTGAAGGCCTCCATGCTCACATTGGACATACAAGGCGCTTTTGATGCCGTCCTGCAAGGACGACTGATCAGACGGCTCCAGGAGCAGGGTTGGCCTACCAACGTGATCTGATGGGTAGCTAGTTTCACCCAAGGTCGAACAGCCAGCCTCCGCCTAGGGAACCACATGAGTCAGACTTTCCAGGTTCCAGTGGGTCTCCCACAAGGCTCCCTGATCTCTCCAATCCTCTTCATGTTATTCATCAAACCCATCTTCAAACAAAGCTCTCTCCGCACCCGATGTGGCTGATTTGGTTACACTGATGACATATGCCAGCTAGTGGCTTCCCCCTCCTTGGAGGAAAACTGTACGGTGCTCCAGCACTGCACAGAGGAGCTCAGGCAATGGGGAGCTAGAGAAGGCCTCACTTTTGACTTCAACAAAACAGAACTGCAGCACTTCACACATGGAACCAACCATCCCAACCCCACATGCTCTATTCGCTCCACTCAAGGCTCACACACAGTCACACCTCCCCCTCCTGGCAGTGCAACGCGCTGGCTAGGCATCTGGTTTGACCGGAGGTTGAGCTTTAGCAAACACTGCAGGACCCTAGCTGCAAAGGCCAGACAGACAGCTGCTGGTATCAGATCACTAACCAACACAGTCAGAGGGACTAGGGCACACCTACTGCGGCAGTAGAGGCTACAATCACCTGTGTCATCTCAGTCCTTTGCTATGGGGCTGAGGCCTGGTGGCCGGGCTGAAACAGACCCAGGCCCAGGAACCAGGGCTCCGTGTCAAATCGAGTCAATTCCTCCCTCTCTCACCTTGACCGGGTACTCAGAGATGCTCTCCAAGGTACTCTCCCAGTATACTGGACCACCCCCACTCCAGCTCTCCATCGAGAAACTGCCATCCCCCTGATGGAGATCATCCTAGACCAGAAGCGCACTGCAGCCAGATTGCGTGCCTTCAGTTTAGACAATCGCCACCCAGTTTGCAGGCGCATTTTCTGAGCACGATCTTTTCCAGCAAACACACGCCTAACCCACAATCACCTGCCATGGCTGGAGGGG